CCACTTCAAACAACTTGGAAAATACCACACACTAAATTGAATCGTTCTAAATTAAACCGTCATTGGATCTCACGTACCAAATTGGTCGTTCTAAATTAAACCGTCATTGGATCTCACGTACTAGATTGATCGTTCAAAATCAAGCTGTTCATGGGATCTCATACACCAGATTGATCTTTCTGAATCAAATGATTATGGGATCTCACGTACCCAATTGAATCGTCTAAAATCAAACTGGTTATGGAATGATGTCTCTATAAGAACTGCAAGTAAAACATCCCACTTCGTATGGGACGACAATTTAACTACCCACTAGTTTGTACTTCTTTAGTTTTACCCATGCAGGAAGGACAGCAATGTGCATTTCTTAAGTTTTAGATGTGTAGAAAACGTAGTATAATGTGTACTTGTGTGATACGGTTGTAGATTAAATTAAGGTACGCCATTTGTAAACGTGTTTTGTAATATAATAGATATAGCTAGTCTGTAGTTGGGCGTTAAGCGCATGGATTACTTTTATTGTAGTTAAAAATGTAAAGTGTTGGTTCCCAACATAAATGATAAACACGCTGTGTCAGGAAATCTCCTTCGATATCTACAAGTAAATGTATATAATTCTGCAAGGGAAAAAAACGAAACATCTTTAGTAGATTTTATATCATCAGTTTATTTGTTTAGCGCAAAGCTACACGAGGGCTATCTGCGCTAGCCGTCCCTAATTTAGCAGTGAAAGACTACAGGGAAGGCAGCTAGTCATCACTACCCAAGCCAACTCTTGGACTACTTTTGTACCAACGAATAGTGGGATTGACCGTCACATTATAACGCTCCACGACTGAAAGGGCGAGCATATTTGGTGGGAAAGGGATTCGAACCCTCGACCCTCATATTGCGAGTCAAACGCCCTAACCACCTGGCCATGGTTTTGTATTAACAGAGCAAAGTGCGTTAACAATAATTAATTCATACTTTAGATGAAAAGTTTTTGTGGTAAAAGTTAAAACCTTAACACAGCAACAAAATCCAGTAAAATTACGTCATCTTATTATAATGGACGTAGTGTGTATATATGTATCTATCTATGTATGTCACCGAAATTATAAATACAATGTGGCGCCATCTATTGAATGGCACCACAATTTCACACTTTGGGTATTCAAGATTCAGAAAATT